GCAACCTATTTGGTGACATGCGCAAAACACACCCCCAACCAACGTGATCTATGGAGGTCGACCACCTGCTCCAGTGGGCGACCGCACTAACTTAAAGCTCTGCGCCTAGCCTCAGCATTGTTCGTCCTGCTACCGCAACAGATCTGTGGAATGCTGCGTAGATAGCGGTGTTGAAACACCGACAGATCATTTTTATCATGTTTTCTTAATGGTCAAGGTTCTGCACCGTATAGCACAACTGGCCGAACCGACGCGGCGTACACTTGACCCTTCACAGACATCCGGATGTCGCCACCGCGCTACAGATGTCTCAAGTTGGCAAATACCAACCCAGACCAGTGAAGAGAAAAAACAGAACTGAAACCTAACCAGACAGGTTTGCGAAGCTAACGAACCCCGTCTTCGTCTTCGTGTTGGTTCGACACTCCGCAATCATGTGGATGGAACAATTGTGAATTCCAAATGACAATTCGTCGTGTATATAGCAAATGAAGCGTGAACTGAAAAGCTAGGAAGCACTGGACAGCTGTTTCGACCTGGTTGGGTCTCATCAGCAGTGCGAATCCATCGACCCGACTGGGGATCGAACCCGGGACTTATATATACACGACGAATTGTCATTTGAAATTTAACCAAATCCTCCATTACCCACATGAAATTGTGAATTTCACAAGAAAATTCATCTGCTTTGTCCAGAACAACCTGGTAGTATGGCGCCCACAAGCAAATCATGGCAATATTTCTGTTAGCCGCACTGAGTGTCGGTCAACAAGCTGCCTTAGTTCTAACCCTTGGAACTCTCAATTTAAATGTGTAAATATTGCTACAAGATTGGGTCGATCCAGCTCCCAACCTCACTCTGACTGGGGAAGTAATAGAGGAATTAGATAAATTTTGCCATTTGGGTAGCTTTATCTCACCTGGCGGACGCGTCACAGATGAAGTGCGGGCAAGCATACAGAAGGCTCGGTTGGTATTTGCCAATTTGAGATATCTGTGGTGCCGTCGCGACATCCGGCTGTCCGTGAAGGGTTGAGTATATACTGCAGCAGTTCGGCCAGTGCTACTATACGGTGTACAAACTTGGCCATCACGGGAACATGATAAAAAGTTCGTCGGTGTTCGAACAACGCTGTCTACGTCGCATTGCATGAGCCTGGTGGGGAAACCGGACAAGCAAATGCTGAGGTGAGGCGTAGAGTTTCAGATAATCGCGGTTGCCCACTGGAGCAAATGATCGACCTCCATAGATTACGTTGGTTTGGGCGTGTTACGCATGCCACCAAGGAGAGCGATGTTTGCCGAGACAGGCAGTGGATGAAAAAAGTTGAAGGCGGTCAAACTAAGACCTGGCATGAGGGTAAGAAAACTAATTAGGACACTGGGTCAAATAGGTCCCGTTAGGCTCCTCGGATAGGGTTCCTGAGATCATGGCAACTGGTGGTTAGAGACAGTGAGTGATATGCCTGAGTGTGTCTGTGAGTGGTGATCGTGCATCTACTCAATATTCTTGCAACTCCAGTATGTATGAATTATTTATCTCTTCTTTGACTTCACTCTCAATATTTCAATCTTCCTTCTGCTGTTTTAGACAAGTAGGCAGTCAGACAACAGTAACCAAAATCTGCACACGAAAGTGCATTGATAATGGTTGTAAAAACGAAAACTGAAACAAATGGACAGTTTCCACAAGTAAAGGTTACTTTGAAGATGATACCGCAAAAATTATAGGGTTTATCGCCCTGGATGGCTCGTTTCCATCGGCTTTTAGGCACAAAGCCAAGCTTAAGTCTCAAGGTTGACAAATTCACCCGAGTTCAATGTGGAAAACGGATCAAGGTCCAGATGTACGGTGCCTGTGAGTTTAAATCCACCGTTACTTTTTTTAAATTTGAATGACCAAAGCCCATTTTAAACGTAAGATTTTCTTTCGATAGGGTAGCCTTATCTCTTTTTGTTATAGATTTGCCCCTAGACAGCGACTAAACCACTCACGAGAACGATGCACCTGATGTGCTTCCAGGCGGTAGGCCGTCTGATCGGGAGTACGCAGAGGACATCCCATTTGTTCAAGAAAATCAAGGAAAGCAATTTTGATTGGTTCTAATCCGAGTATACACATATTCAGCATACGTTTTGGTCAGTCAACGTGTAAAATGCCATTACAGCACTGATTTTATCCACCTGCTGAACTCACTCTGACCGCGGAAGCGATAAAGAAAGCTGGCGAGTCTTTTCATCAGGATAGTTACACCTTACCTGGTAGATACATTACAAACAAGTGACGACATGCCTACAGAGGGCTAGATTGACATTTTCCGAACTTGGTACAATCCAAGGTTCCCAACGTGGCATTTAATTATCCTTGAAAGGTTGAGTGTATGCAGCAAAGACTTGAACAATAGGAGAAAAGGATAAGGACAAACTATCGGTATTCGAACACATAATACTGCTCGAGTCTGGAGGGGCACCTGACCAAACCATACCGTGGATAGACACCGAGTTACAGATGACTGCGGTCGTGCACTTCCGAAGATTATGGTAGCTGGTGCATGTGCTATGTATGCCAGCAGACAATTCCTCGGAGTGCGATATCTGCCGTAGGGTGTAGCGAGCGGAAGAAAGTCAATAATTTTCAAATTAAGAACAGACATGAAAACCACGACTTGAGGATTTGAACGTATAGATCACCCTAAGCTTCCAAGTTGATAACTTCGAGATCTGTACAACCACGAGCTAGGGTTAGTGAAAGCGTAAACAGTAGCGAACGTGAATCTATTAATTTTCAGCGAAATGTATTCTGCACATTTGCACTGGTACTACTACCTCAAACTACTCCTACATCCAAACTCATGGTAAAGAGACATCACCCAAAACTGAAATGTGAAGGTGCAGGTTTAATTATTTTTTTAATTGAACTGGGTGCCCAAGCACCTCTAACAGAATAGTCGCCAAATTATGTCTAATGTCTTTGTTTTTTACTTCATTTTCTTATTTATTGAATATAAAATGTACAGTCAACATTCAAGAAGGGGGGCCGCGGCCATACAAAGGCTGCCAGGGAAGACGGGCGGCGGTGGAGTGGTTCGAACCCGGGGCTCACAGGTCACAAGTTGGTGATCTAACCATTTGGCCACCACCGCCCAAAGATGGAGTATGATCGCGCAAAAATAATCTCTAAGGAATACAAATAGAAAAATATTTTTACTCACCTCAAAGTAATTACGTTACTGGGGTTTTGAAGCATACCAGTCAGGAGAATATGCATGAACAGAACAGCTAAGAAGGCAGCATACTGGGGGCAATCGGTGGGGCAACGACCAGCAGTAACTTGCCCAAAGGGAATCTGTTGCTTCGATGAGTTATAAACCGGTTCTCCAGATGGATTCAGTAGGGATCTTGTGACACATGCGCAATCAGTGAATTCCTACAAAGGACATGATGAGCAGATACGAGAACCTATTCGTATTCTAAATTAAGGTCAACAGAAACGATACACCGCATGACATTTTGTCATGTTAATTAACAGTTCATGATCTTTTGGGAGCCAATGACAGCAAATACATAAAGGTAGCATGTACGTTCCCAGTATGGCAAAGGATACTTTATTGTGTAGAGAAAGACAAGTTTCCTCTTTCTTGAGAAGATTCACTGGCTTTGGCTCAGGCAACCAGGCAGCATTCCATTCGAGGAAATCATGGAACTCCAATTTCACAAAGATTATTGCAACGTGCTTTGTTTGCGTACTGTTTGGACTGATGATATATATACTGGTCGGTTCTGCAGTTTCCCACCGTTTAGTTTGAGGCTTAAAAGCGTTGCCTTGAAAAACCTGCCAGAAACACTTGCTCCCCAAACATACTGCGAGAAGAATTCCTAAAACCGTTCCTACGAANCAAAAAGATTCGCTGATATTCGTAATGAACAATACCAAGAAGATAACCCATCTCTGATCGTCCCTCCAAAAAGCCGCCAATGTCAAAATATATTTCAGGGATGAGCACCTTCTGAATGATGTCCGACAAAAGTTAGTCAGCTGTGAACCGCACATTCCCAGATGCTTAACTTCGACTTATGGCCTCTACTCGCGGAATGGATTTGGACAGAGGGATAAGTTGTTGGCGATCCAGTTCTACCTTAAATGTTGTTTACCAGTTCACCAGCAGTTGGGGTTACGCACACACAGACAGAACTAACCGTCAATGAATTCAACGAGCGGCTGAATACATCATAACGTGGTAGGTGAAATCGATGACGCGACTTACACCAGATTGCCAGGTGGTCACACGAAACCCGGGGGCATCTATGGCCAAACACGTCAAGACAACCAAACATAGTTGATCCCGCAAATTCGAGTAAAACCACTGACAATTAGTGAGGCCTGGCTATTCAGATTGTCGGCTCGTTTTGTGCTCCAAAAAGATGTTGACGCAACCAGTTCACCTACCAAGGAGTTCAAATCTTGTTTTCATTTCAATAGGCCTGTCTATCTGTAGGGGTCCGTTCACTGGGATTTACCAGCCAAATGTGCTG